AAAAAAAAAAAACAAACAAACAAACAAAACAAAGATTCTTCAGAAAAATGTCACAAAACATTTGATAACACTATTCGTCATGATTTAACTTGAGTAATTGTACATCTAAAAAGAATAAGATGCAACTAGTTGGGTTTTCACATGCCAAAGAGTCACTCAATCTCTATCATTCTAACAAACCTGGCAACCGAAACGCAGTTTTAATTATTCGATGACGTTTACAACTACAAGTATAAAACGCATAGTTAAGCACCATAATATCCTTTAAAATCTAGAATTAATCCGTATCTCGCATTAAACTGTCTAAAATTTCGTTACCCGGTCTACCGCTGCCTTTATTTATACAAATTTAATAGCCATATAATACACTCAAGTACGAGATATTCCAATCGTTGGGCTCGTTTTTGTTTCTTTCTTTTCTTTTCTTTTTTTTTTTTTTTTTCAATGACTCATAAGTAAAGGTATTGCAAAGAGTACAAGAAACATACAAACATATTTATAGCTTGGACGAGAAAGAGGGAAAACATTAAAGATGACAAGCAGTACATAAAGGTGCAAGGAAGACGCAACAGGTAACAGCATATATATTTATGCGACACAACTTTCAGAGATTCGATTATTATTTGACGGGCGTGTGTATAGGTGTAAGTACTTATATAGGTAGCATTTTCAAACTTTTTTTTTCCCTAAGTTTGCTTAGATGTTGTTATAATTATCAATGCGGTTAAGATTGTTTTGATTTACGTAGAATTTAAGTCTCACTTTAGGCCACTTCAGTCGATGGTCTCAGGGCGTTCGCGAATCTTTAGGCTTAGTGGTTTTTGTTTTTCTTTATTGATTTATTATTATTATTATTATTATTATACATTTTTATACAAAGCACGAGTNGCGGCAGGTGGGGGAGAGGAACGGCGGAGGCGCGAGTACATAGTGACGTGGACGGGGCCTCGGTGTCGGCTCATATACCTGCGCGACACGTGACGTCACGCCCGGCGCGCTCTCATATTTTTCTTTTTTTTTTTTTTCTTTTTTTTTCCTCTCTTATCAGGAGTAACTATACTTACGACACTATACCTACACACTCACGCACGGGCGGGCAGGTATACAACATCAGCGCCACGGCACGTATATAGCATGTATACCGTGCAGGTATAACCAATTGTACTCAACTGCCACCTGTTTGATTGTACCAACTTATTGCGATCGAGAATTCGTGCAGATGACGGTGGCACCCGCAAACACCAAAGACGAAAATCCCCGAGAAGTCCATTTTCACTCCCACGATCGCACGATTTAGTTTTCGGCGGCACCGAACAACCGGGACATTATTTCTATACCGATGTAAATACGGACAGCCGACTAGTGGCGCGCTTTTTCCTGCCGCGACTCATCCTCTTGCTCTTTCGCGTAGCGCAATCGCAGGTGTATACATGCACACTTGCTTGTAAATAGGAGAGGAGGTGGTGCAGATAAAGTATAACCAAGCGATGTGCATGTAACCATGCTGTATCGGTTATAGTTACTATGGTATTTTTTTAAACGATAAGAATACAATTACCCAAGGTACGTTTTAAAGCGCGCCTTTTCTCATTGTCGCGTCTTACACTTTCATACGTATGTACCGTTTGGCTTGAGCGAGGATACGTAGTCTCGAGGGTATTTACCTTTGCATATCATGTGGCGATGAAATTAAAAATATTCCCTATAGTATACAATATGTACCCTTTTGTCCTCGTGCGTCGACCCCGTTTTTAGGCCAAAAGAACTGAATTCTTCAAAAACACATTCGTTCAGGCATCACGGGTTATATATCTATACCTTATATTATACCACTGCACATTGTCATGTTAAATATAGCCGTATATACTTAGGGTTGAGCTATATACATTATAGTATGTATACCCATAGATAATGGTAATGCGATGAGCCAAGTTATTGGTAATTATGTATGAAATGCGAGAGTTTCAAAAAGTGTGAACGAACTATACAGCTATATGTATACATGTGACTCATTGCCGAGAAACCGAACTTGAAATTGTTTTTCAATGTAATCCAATAATTGTCCATCCTGTTGCGCGTTACGTATGCGGCACTTTTGGCAATCAGGGGACGACAGTTATCGCCGTTGACGTGACGGTTATTCCTTGCTGTTCCGAGTCAACCGACCGCAGCTTCGTTTATTAGGTAACAGGTAGTTGGACGACGAGTGGATATTGTTGCGCATCTCTTGTTTTTTTCTCTGTCGAATAATATTGTGTAGGTTATAATGTATTTTGCGCCCGGGGAGCCATAGTAAATAATATTTTGGGCCTCCTTTACTACGCACTTTTGAAAAATAGTAGCGGGAAGCAAAGGTAATGGTGGGCACTTTTTGTTGGTGTGTCAATAACTTGGTTGCCAGCTGTCTCCACTGTATACGTTCGTCGTAACTGCAATATAAGTGCCATTGAACATAGGGATTTTCGTAACCATTGGAGCGCGAGATAACGAGATAAATGTTGAAAAAAAAAAAAAAAAAAAAAAAACTAAAAAAGAAAAAAAAAACGTATCCTTAAAAAAGTCAAAAACTCTTTGGATCAGTGGGTCGACTGACGTATAATAAACGCAACTAATCACCTAAAACCATCACGGCATCCGAAAATAAATAAATAAGACAATACACAATCATCATCGGTAAAAATCATGTAAAACATTCAATTTCGTCGTGGGCCCCCACGGACCCGTGTGGAGGCGTACATCTTTCACTTGTTCCTCTCGCGTTTGGAGAAAGAGGGCCGGGACGAAAGTTTTGTGGGAACGTGTCAGTTGAACACGAACAAGAGGATGAGTTCTCTCGTTTTCGAAAAATCATCGGTTCGCGGTTCACTATACATCGCGCGTGGACATATCGAACGGCAGAGAGGAAGAAAAGCACCTTCGCTAAGGTATCTTGAGGGTGGCCGCGCTGCGGATCTCATCCTATGGCGGTCGGAGTCTCGGCGGGTTGTGCCACACTTGGCTCTTTGGCACGTCGCCGCAGCTCGTCAGGGCAGTCTGTGCGATCTGCCGGGAACGCTGGTGGTCGTACGCGCCATGCTGGTGCGAGTAGTGCCGGTAATCGTGGGCGATCAGCCTCACGTGGCTCTGGTGCTGCTGGATCTGCACGCTGCCGCTTACCGACTGCTGTTGCTGGGGGGCAGCCTGATGCGCCGGCTGGACTTTTTTACATTCCTGACCCGTTGAATCTGGTGCCGAAGGAATTGGCCGATGCGACTTCATGTGAGCACTTCTGCTTTTCACTTTGTTGAATACTCTGCGATAGAAGACAAAAACACACACACACATTCTCGTTTAATTGGCTTATTCCCATTCTTTCTTTATTTTTTTTCCCCCCTGATTTATAAAAAGTGTTCCTGATTAATGAATTTTGTTTTACAGCTTCTCGTCCGTGCCTACAGTGAGTAAAGTGCTCGATTCCTGCTCTACGAGTAACCACTTTGCACACGGGTACTCACACGTTGATGCTCGTACGTGTATTTGCAGTATGTAAAGAAGATTTTAATTAATTTACGTTGGCCACTGTGCTAGAACCAAGTCACTTTGCACATTATCTGCTGGTACGAGAAGCTCAACTTTCGCAGACCGTGTCTTTACGTGATTCCATTGCGTCAACATGCGTGCAGAATAATATTTTTTCAACTATTTGTTAGAACATTATTATTTTGTTTATTTATTTGATATGTAAATTTATTGTTAGTGTGAAAATGCCAAAACACATTTGTTAAATGAAAAAAATGCGAATTAAACAATAGATTCGGAGAAAAACAACAACGAAAGGTATAGTGCAAAGCAGGAGCTATCCAAGCCCCATCCTGTGGCTTGTTTTAACTTTGTGCTTTAAATATTAAACATTCAACAAATATTATGTATTTTACATATAATATCAGTGTCGTTTGCATGTATTTTGTAAGAATTTTCGATGTAAGTGGTTTGTTTCGTTGCTACACGTAATATTTTCAAACTACATTTTAATAAAAAAAAGTAATAACCAAGATTACTCGAATTTTAATTATTAAAAAAAAAAAAAAAAAAAACTCTACTCGTACGAAAAATCAACGTTAAAGTAAAACTACTACCGATTTTTTCTCTATCTCTCGCATCTTTTCTCGTCTTTTTTTTTTTTTCTTTTTCTTTTTCTAAATGGACACTACATGGTCTCACGAAGCAAAGTATTAATTAATTGTAGAAAAAAATGTTCCAACGGACGATCGAAAGATCAGAGATTTAGAGACTTACTTCCCGCATATCTTGCAGGGGTAGTGAAGTAGGGTGGTGGTGGTGGTGGTGGTGGTGGTGGTGGGCACGGGTGGTAGTTGATGTTGTTGTAGCTCATTACTAGTGTGAGTTTGTGAATTCGTGTTGTCGGCTGTAGCGTGGCCACCGGCTTGGGATACCGGCTTGTTGTTCTGTTCTGTTACGCTCCTGCTAAAGCTCTGGATAACACAAAGAAAACACAAAGCAAAAATAAACAACAAACACAACACAAACCTTGGCTCTCTTCTTGCTAGTTAAACCATCGTAGCACTGCTGCTAGCCTCTCTCTCTCTCTCTCTCTTTTAGTCCCTCTTTTCTTTATTGCTGATGCGTTGGATTTTTATTACGATCGAGTGAAAAAATAAGTAAATGGTACAATGTTGAGACACAACGGTTTAGTTATCAAAACAAAGTTAGAAAATCATAAGAGTAAAATAGGCAAAGAGGGACTTTACGTTACATTTATGGTACTTTAGTTTAGAATGATGTACAATATCATATACACCTAACAAGTGTCTAAATTTATGCAAAAAGACTAAAGTTTTGCATGTAAGGCACGGCCGCTACATTAATCCACCAGAGCATAAATAGTTACTCTTTGTACTTTTTTCGATTTAAGGACAAAAATATGTTGGAAGATGCGCATTTTGACGATCCAAATATATGATATTGTATGTAAAGTTTAAAAGTCCTGTAACAATTTTTGGTCTGGTGAATGTGTGAAGCACACCCCTGGAGCCGACGTGCCGGTATAAGGATAATAGTCAAATCACATGCAACATTTAATTCACAGACAAGTCAAGACGATTCTGTTTCATGTGTCAGCTTCGTGTTAGGTATTAAATAATTTAAACACACAATCTTTGTCCAGCCAAAATCTCATCGCAAATAATTTAATACTCGTATATGGTTATCGCGTAGTTCGTGGTTAATACAAGTATGTTTGACTCACATCTTGGCAGTCGTAAGCGAAAAGCCGCAACTCCCCGTCGCTTGTCGTCAAAGTAGCAGAATTTTCTCTCTCGTTGGTCGTCTGCATCTGAGATATCGAGTCCCATTAACGCTCGACGAAAACAAAAAAAAAAAAAAAAAAAGAAAAACAACTCACCAGCGTCCGATGAAGAATGGACTTCTCCTCGCTGAAGTCGAATTCCGCAACGGCGGCGATGGCGTCGCACAGCTCCTTCGTGTCCTTGCAGTCGTCGAGAGAGTCGGACAAACCACCGCCGTAGACGCTCTCGGCCTTGATCTTGGGCTGTTTCCCGTAAAGCAGCCTCAGCCTCCTGTACTCGTCGGGACAGAGCCGCTTCCACAGGTAATAGAACTGCACGCACTGCCTCGACGTTTTGCTACCGATCTCGAGGGCTATCGCCGAAAAGTCCTTGTTGTACTTCAACAGGCTCTGGTAAAACGCGTCCATCTCCCGTGACGTCCAACGGTCCGAGTCGCTGTACTCGTAGCTGCGAAGCGGATGGTCCGACGTAAGCGCGGGCGTCGGTCGCATCAGTTTCAGCATCGCCTCCTACGAGGACCAATTGTTTATCTTTCATTTGCTTTATTAACTTGAAACAAAAAGGCCGGTACTCACTCTAACGTTGCCGTTGCACATGTGGAGCAGGTGAAGGGCGTACTCCTTGTTCCTTCCACCGGCGGGTACCGTGGCGCAGCAAGCGAACTGCAGGTACATGGACACTGAAACGGGAAAAGGAGAACGGTACGGTGAAACGGCACGAACGACCAGTACGTGGGTCATAATGGGTGGAAACTGACGTTCGGTCTCGGTGAGGGCGCTGTCTATGCAGGGATCCCAGAGCAGGTGGTCCATCTCGGGCTCGATGGTCATGCGGTCGGCCTCGTGCGTCAGCAGCTGAGGTATCGTCGCCTGGTACCTCGTGCCGACGTTGATCCTAGGGGGCGGCACGTCCGTGTTGTTCCCCCCCACCTGCGAGTTGCTCGAGTTGCAAAAGTCCGCGGCGTCGTGCTGGTGCATCAGCCTGGCGTACAATCCCGAGCCGGGCCTCGACGGGTCGAGTATCGGTGGGGGCGTGTAACTGCCGTTCCACTGTCGGTCGCAGGCCCGCCTCAGCCGCGATGGGTAAGGACTCGCGCCGAGGCTCGAGGTGCCGTTGTGACCGCCACCGCAGAGGATACTCGGGCCCTCGAGCCGCGGCCGCTTGCCGTGCCTAGCGGGACTGTCGAGGCTGCTCGGGCTCAGAAAGATGTCCTCCTCGAGCGAGTCCTCCTCCTTGATCTTGTCGATGGGCACGGGCAGCCCGACGCTCGACCCCTGCCTGGCGTGTTTGAGGCTCACCTTAGCAGCTTGGCTCGTCTGTATGAGGAACTTGGCTGGATTGATGGCCTGCACGGACTCCCACTCGTTATAGTTATACGTAAAATAATAATATTGAGTAAACAGAGAGAGGCATGATTTACTTGGTGTAGTGGCTGCGGCTGGTAAACGATGCCGTTGGTTTGTTGTTGGTGGTGGTGGTGGTCGATCTTACGGAAGGCCAGGGCCGGGCTCATGAGGGTGCCGGCGGGTCCTTGGACGTAGACGTTGGTCTTTTGGAGGCCGGCGGTCTGTATGAGCTTGAACTCGCCGTTGTTGTCGACGACGATGCCGGCGACGGCGCCGTTGCCCAAGCCAAAGTCGACGAGTTGGCTCTGGTTGGCGACGAGCTTGTACGACTGGAACTCGAACTTGCGCCTCCCGGCCCCAAAGTCCTTGGGGCTCGACGAGAGCAGCGGGTCCTCCGAGTTGGGCATCATCTGGCTCTGTAGGGCGTGGTGGTGGTGGTGGTGGTGGTGGGGCGACATGGGGAAGGCCGAGCCGATAAAGCCGGTGGGCCCGGGCGAGGAGACGGAGGAGGGGGGCAGCGAGGAGAGGGGCGAGGGCGCGGGTGTCGCGGAGAGGGGACTCGGCAGGGGCGAGTGGGGGTTCGGGCAGCCAGGGGTGGGCCCACCGGTGGTGGCGGTGCCGCTGCCGTAGAGGTCCGTGGGGTCGGCGTCGGCCTCGTCGGGGAGGACCTCGCTGAGGGCTTCCTCGATCGCCGCGGCCGAGGACATGCTCGTGCTGTAGAAGGCCGCCGAGAGGGGCGAGGAGACCGAGTGGACCGCGCAGTCGGTGTCCTCCTGGGGACTGAGGAGGGGCAGGCTACCGCTGAGCAGGCCCTCCTGGCTCGCCGGTGGCGTCGGGTAGGTGAAGCTCGGGCTGTCGTGGCGGGTGAGGGGCGAGGCCAGGGGCGACTGGTGGCTCGGCTGGAGGGCGTGCGAGCCGTCGCTGTAGTTGGCCCCGTAGGTGCTGAACTCGGCCAGCGAGTCGGGCAGGGGCGAGTTGACCAGGGCCTGCAGATCGGGGTTCACCGCGTGCTGGCCCGGGAAACGCTCCTCCAGGCTCATGTCGTGCAAAGCCTCGTTGGCTGCCTGCTCCTGCAGCAGACTCGACGTCTGAAACTGCCCGAATTCACATCCTTCCGTTTGAGTACATTCGATGATTTACTATAATGCTTGATTCACGAGCCCAATCAGAAATCATTAATTTTGGGCAGGGGGACAGCTCTTCGCTCTCGAGATGAAAAATGCGTCGGAGAAGTTTTTCAATCAACGCTAAACTCGTGTGCTCTATAAGAACGGGTCCACGGAACTCGTTACGAGAGAGGGAGTGGAGACGCGAGCCGAGAGAGAAAAGGAGGTAATTACGCGGGCGAGGGACATTTGTCTTGGGAAGCCGATGGCACGAGCTTATCTCCGAAAGTGAATTTTGATTAGTCCCGAGAAACATCGCCCAAGACGGCTCGTCACGACCTCGGGCGCGTACAATGATAATAACACACGGGAGAACTGTGCACTCGGGCGAGACTGTCAGCTCGAAAACTCTCGGCGACGAGCTTTTCAAACTCGGAGAAAGAGGAGACGACGACGATGGCAATTATTATCCTCCCGCGTTTATTAGATCTCGGGCGTCCGCGGCTTGTATAATTGAAACTAAAACGTCCCGCACCGGAGCCAAGGGGGAATGCGTAATGAGACGCGAGAGCCTCTAATTGGCCCGTCAAAGGATCACCCCTAGGCCGACGTCTCAACATATGCTAATGTGACCCCGCAGCGAGTGCGTGACAGTCTTACCCACATGGATGTACCGAGTGTCGATTATAATGCGCACCTATACGCTAAAAGAAAGACGTACACGCACTCCTTCCGTTGTCCGAGGCAAGTTTGCGCTTCGCGTGCATTTGATCATTTATGAACGAATCTACTCGTCGCTGGAAAAGGTATTCATTATTAACGTGAAAGGCAACGAGAATCTTTTTTTTTTTTTTTTTTTTTTTTCATTTCGACATCCCTTTTACTTTTCCCGCGTATCCTTTGAGGAGCGCCTCGAGAGCAAATATTGAAGTTCAAAGTTCATACTTTCCGTATATGCACGCAAAATATACGTATAATATACTGGGCGACTTGCGAACTCGAGATACCTTTTTCTACCCATCCTTTGCTCTTTTATTTTTTTTTTTACATTTAGAAACGTAAAATTTACCCCCCCGTAGCTCTCTCTGTACCACGAGACCGAGACGATATTAGGTACTATACAACTCACCTGTATAGCGTCGAGTTGACTGGCGTGCAGCAAGACGCTGTCGGGCACGGCGGTGACCTGCTGAAAAACCTCGTCCTGTAGACTGGGGCTAAAGTAGCCGCCGTCCTCCGGGTAGCCGGTCATCGTGAAGCTCTCGGTGACGGAGGTCGGCTGGGACGAGCCGCTCGTCGTAGTCACCGGAGCGGCCTGATAGGTCAACTGGACCCTCTGGCCGGGGTCCGAGGTAGCGCGCTTCACTGCCATCTTCGTCGTGCCCTGCCGAGTTTCCGCCAACTTACAATACACATCATACGTATGAATTTTTTCTTTTCTTTCCCATTGTCATATTCCCGGTCAGTGGCGTACCTTGAGTATCATGTCGGCCAGAGCTTGGGCTTGGGCTTGGGTCTGAGCTTCCTGGAGCTGCTTCGACACGGAGCTCGGGTGCCCGGCTATCGTCACGTTCGGCTGCCTGAAGTGCTCGCCGTCCGACAACCGGCGAATCTTATCGCCAGGGGCCAGCGGTGGGGGCGCGGGCACGGCAAAGTTCATCTTGCCGATTATCTGCTGCTGTTGGATGTCGGTCGACGTCGACGAGGTCACCGTCATCGGGGTCGCCGCTGCTTGAGCCGCGAGCACCGCGTTGGCGCGCAACTGATGAGCCGCGTTCGCGTCCGTTGCTGAAACGTCCCGGGGTGTTATTGACATTTGAGATCAAACGTGTTGGACAAGAGTTTCCTAACATGCCATCCAGAGCGATTCTCGTACTTTTTTTTTTTTTTTTTTTTTTTTTTTTCGTTAACGACTGTCATTACGAGGTCTCCGAAGGACACGCAGGCGCTATATGTATACACCCCTCGAGTGGTAGAGCTCGTTTACGGAAATTACACACGCATGCACGCGCGCGCGGGTCTGAGCAAATAATTCCAGGTAGTAATATCCTGTTTCGCGGCCCTGTGTACACGCGTGCACGTGGTGCATAAAATAAACACGAGTGGCGTTTTCTTTGAAGCTGCAGCGCGTGGCCAAAGTTGCACACTGTACTTACGTTATAATCAACGGATGCTCTGAATTTTGCACGTGATAAATTATACGCGGGGGCGCTCAAGTGGGGCAAGATCGGCACGGGGGTCAAGGGGGGAGGGAGCGAGGGAATGGTCAAACTTTATCAAACGTTGGATGAATTTAATTAATTTGCGAAAATACCCAGTCCCCCGGACTCGTCAAAGGGAAGTTGGCTGTTCGTGCACGCGCCCATTTACATGATGATTTTCCTGAGCTCGTACGAAATTTACACGAAAGTACGCGCTTGTGCGTAGGTACACCCACATCGCATGTTTGTCCCGTTACTCCTGGGTCATTTATTTCGTGAAATTCATTCAACTTAGTTTTCAAATCAGCTTACGATTTTTACGTTACTGGAGCGGAGTAATATTCGTTACACGTTTGACATCTAAAATCCAGAGAACCAAAGTGCTTGTTCTATATACGTATGTACCTAAAGGAGTTCAAATTGAGATTTCGTCCTTACGATAGAGGCCCTAAAAATACGTACTGAAATGAAAAAAAAGCGCACCCACGTCTTTCCTTTGGATTGAAAACATAAAAAAATAAGGTAAAACATCAAAGAGTGACTTTTTGCGAATTTCCAGATAAAACGTACTAGTTCGCCCGAACGAGCAAAGCGTCACGACACACCGATACAGGAGGAGGGACTTCAACTGCAATGGGTCAGCTACTTGCTCCTCTCGTGAATATTTATCAATGTAAACGTCAGCGAGCCAAACGAAACGTTATCGAGATGAGTGTTACGTGTACATTCAATCAGTCGCGTGCGCGGGGGAGGCGTAAATAAATTTAAACGTCGAAATAAACAGTGAGCTTTTCGGGAAAAAAAAATCCAACGAGAGCGCGCGTATGTATAAAAGTTTGCAGAGCTGATGCGCTAATTTTGATGATGTTTTACTTTTCAATTTTCGCTTCGATTCAGTTACACCCACACACAAACGTCGAGCCTCGTCGCGTTCTCGCACAAGGGGAGGATGAAAAACTAGTCGTACATGTGCGTTAAACGGGTGTACGAGTAAACATGGATAGAAAAAAAAAAAAAAAAAAAAAAACATGTACGGCACGAGAGCAAACACGGCGTGTATCTTCTCGTCGAAAAATCAAGAAAAATGAGAAATCCCATCTACGGCAATGTATAGCTTATAAAACAGCGGATCTCGCACCTCCGATCCAATCGGGGTCCAATTTATTCCGGCATCCCTATTCTCTCAGAATATAGGTACCTATACCTATACATGTGGAGCGACGTCGATTGACTCGAGTGCTATATGCTCGCGAAGCGCGGCTAAAGTCGCACAAAAGATTATTCGGGGCGAAGACGCGAGGAGGGACGTACATATAGAGAACGCAGTCTGGCGGACAGGCAGATTCCCCTTTCCTGCTCCTGTCGGCCGTGGGGCAATACTCGTAAATATCCCCGCATCGTAAATTTCCCTCTTCGATGCTTACGCAGCGGCACTGCTATATATACACTCCACAGCCTGCAAACCCTCCCTTTGCTATTTATTTTGGTGCTCCGCGTGTATATGTAGCTGTACAAGCGCGCAGGGGAGGTAGGGGCAAAAAAAATCTCGGGGGTCGATGGCATGATTTACGCGTGGCTCGGCCGACAGTCGTATTTTCCGCGCGAGATTTACGCAAGCTAAGTATTTAATAATTGTAGCGCACTCGTAGGCGGGGAGGATAGCTCGCGCGCGTATATACATGAGTGACGAACAACGCGCTAAAGAGCTCCCGTATACAGCTATATATACTATATGTTGTTGATATCAAAGCTCGACGGATGACGCTGTATTTTTTTTTCACGAAAAATCGCGCAAGGTGTAATCGTCGAGGGCCAAAAGAGTTGTATATAGGTATAGGCGTGTACGCAGTTGACGAGCAATAAAAAAAAGGCGGTGTTATTCATAATTTCAGGAAGCGTATAACGAGCCGTTATCGATAACGCAGGGCGATACAAATTGAACAAACGTGTATAATCATGTAGAGAGAGGGTGAGCGGGATAACGACGGGCTCGTAACGTTTACGCGGACGACTCGAGTGTACTTGCGTGTATCTCTGTATGTATGTATATGCGTGAGCGCGCACAAATGTATATACACACACACACACACACACGTGTGTTAAAAAGCGTTTATTATACGGGGCGCCCGTGCCGTTAGCTTTTACGTCGCGCTGGTAATAAAAGGGGAAAGGAGACCACTCGGTACGAAGCCCTTTTTTTTACTTCCTCTCGTTTCAGATATCTGCCTGCCTTTCGCTTCTCTTTCATTCGGCGCATTGGTATCAAACGCGAAGTTTCCAATAATTGGCGCACCTTTGATGCGGTCGACCGACGACGGGGGGGCACGAGGACAGGCTAATGCGAGTCCCGCGAATCGGGATTTTTACAAATTGGCAATCAGCCGGATCTGTACTACACGTGCACGTATACATACGCGTAGAGCCGCGGTAAATTGCTTTCCCAGAGCTTACGCTACGCGGGGTTCACGGAAAAGAGAGAGAGAGAGAGAGAGAAAGGACTAATACCCACTCTTGGTTCTGAACTACGTGGTGCACGCGTGTGTGCTTGCGAGCGCGAGGCATGTATGTGTATATATACACAGGTACGCCCTCGACACTGGTCATTAAGCGAATTGAAAAGTGGATCGAGAGGAGAAAGAGTGGAGGGCCGCGCGTGCTTGCCCTAATTGCAGCGAGATTTTGTGGCTGCGTACGGACCTTGGGTATGGAGCACTTTTACGACTACCACGCGCCATCGGGAATTTTCAAAGCTTTTTTTTTTTTTTTTTTTTTTATTTACCGCCGAGTACAGCGTATAGAGTCTTTGGGATTTTTTTCTTTGGAGCTGTTTTTCAGACAATTATCCTGAAAAAATCTTGTTGGGGGCTTGATGGATTTCGTACTTTTATATACGCGAGGCAAGACTAAAATTGTTCAATCAGCTTAAAAATTCTATTTTCAGGGTGATTTTACACATGGTTTTATCGTTTCCTGCGTTGAAAATAATAAAAGAGTACTGCTGTTTGTAAACGCCATCAGGTTTCGTGCTGCGTCTGACCAAACGTACGTCTGTACTACTTGACGGTAATCCTCGAAACGTCAATACTGCCAGGCAGCAAAGTGGGGTAAATAGGAACAATTGAAATAATATGCGTAATCTATTTTCCCGGTGCTGATGAATATCAAATTGAAAAGAGTAAGGGAAGGGAGGGAGGGAGGGAAGAGAAATCCGGAAAAAATCGGAAAACTGACAAAACATCACGAATTTCGCGTCAGATGCCGTATTCAGCTCCTTGACAAGATTTTAACGAACAGCAGCGGCAGCGCATTGTGGGCATCAATAAACGCGGATGATTGACGTTCGAATGGGCGAGGATATAGGGTTCGACATTGTTAACGCGCGCGGAGACAGCGAGCTTTAGGGCCTCCCCCTGTACACATCACGGCCGCGAATCACAATAGCCGCGCACGCTCTCCCGCCGAGAGCACGCACAACATATTATCCAAAAACAGGAAAATCCGGCATCATGAAGCTTTACCATTGTTATTTCGTGTATACACATACATATCCACACAATGGCCCGCGTAATTCCTGGCGTATACGTGCGCCCGAATCCTCCTCGAGGATCTGGCCACCGAGCAGTTTATCGCCAACCCCTTCCCTTCCAGCTTCCATACTACTCGGCTACACGAGATTCCCCCAAGCTTCATTGTTGCTTGGAACCTACCGGAGATCTGAGCTTTTTTTTTTTTTTTTTTTTTTTTATTCACCTAATTATGCGGTCAATCGCGAAACGAAAGGGAAGAAATATCAAACAAACCCAGTCCTCCAAAAGGTTTAGTGCAAACAGCGGAGCGAGGGTATATTTAAACATTTCCCAAAGTCAAAAGGGGGAAGGGGGCACACATCCCCAAGCACGCGAGCAAAAACGAGGAGGTAGACGTACGCTCGAAATTGAATAATCAACGTTTTAAAAGCCCACTCGCGTCCCTCCGAGCACACTCGATGCAAAAACTCGCGCACACATCTAAGAGCCATTAACATTTCGTCGTATAAACACGGGCGCCCACTAATTTCGGGTTTTTTTTCGGTCGGTACACCTACAGCTGCGCATGAATTATGAATTCGCGAAACAGAAACTGCTCCCGGCAAAAAGCTCGGGAAGAAGCTCTTCCCCCAACCCCGGAAAGAGTAAAAAGAAAAACGAATCCGTCCTCCCTTTCATCCGGCCCCCTTTTTTTTTCCCTCCCCCGTGCCATCCCCATCCCTGTACGTGTGTGATATGTAGATTTAGGCATAACCCGTAGTACACACGTATATACACATAGACGGGCGTATGGGCGGCGGAGGATGAAATCGCGCATAAATCGCTAACGACGCCCGCGCGCCGCTTGGGATTCGCCTAGTCCCGGCTTTGATTTATCGGCTCGACGTGGACAATGCGAGAAATATTCCGAGCTCGATAAATTATACGGCTATACCCAACGCGGCCACTCTCCATCCTCTCCTCTGTTTGTATACGCGTGTGTATTTGCCTCACATTCGGGTCAACGCGTTGCCTCTTCTTCTTCTTCTTCTTCTTTTTTTAGTGGGGAAAGAGGGAATCTTCTATTCTTTGTCCCGCTCCGCTTCTCTTTATTTCTATTATTGCTGTGCAAGATCGAAGCTTGCGATTTTCTAGGTGTATACGTATGCATGATACAGTGTTTTGCTTTGTTTCTTCGTCTGTGTTCATCTCGAGAGGCGTTTTACTTTTTTGGCAGCTAAAGCGCTTTTGCGGTATGGTATGAAAAAAAAAAACGGTTGATTAGCTTTCATTAACTAAATAGTCGTTTGTCGCAGCATATCATGTTTTATTTGATTGCAAATTTTACACGTAACAAACAATATTTCTTCCTCGCGTGCCTCAGTTATGAAAAATTCTTCCCAAATTTCTCAAGGATTTCGAATTATTCGCGATATGCCCCGGGGTAGGGTGAAATTGAACGAAAAATATTTCTTTCGCTGCCCTTTGCGGAGATGATGATGATTATCATTATTAATATTTCAAAGGGCAGGAGCGCTGCAGCGCACTTAATTTGAATTTGATTGGGCAGTGCGGCACATGAGAAAACATTTCACCCCCGTCTATACATACGTATATATTACACGTGGGATGGCAGCGTCAAATTATAGGGAGATATTACACGTGCATGCGCGAAATGAGAAATGCTTCTCAATTAGCGAATAATTTTCTGGGAATGATATTAGCGCAACAGTGAGACGGAGGGGAATTCGGGGAATTCGCTTTGACGCGAGGGCGGGTCGTGATTTTCTAAATTACCCACCAGCTCGTCCCTCCTCGCACTCCCAGTTTGCAGTATGAGTTTGGAATTTTCAAACAACGAAAGCTCCGCATTTTTCAGCTTTCTCCTTGCCACCGCTCGCTATCCTCTCCTCTTAATGAATCAAAAGAAATTTAATTCACATCCCCCCCTACCCGGGAATAGCTGTTCAACCACACGTGCACGACTCGATTGTACCCATACATTATAATATACGTTCGACATTTAATTTCCTTCTCTCCTTCTCTCGTCAGCTCAAATTAGGTATAATATGTAATTCTCGAATACACAGAGGAAATGATGAAATATTTACGGACGATATTCTGTGTTTTATTTATTCATTCTCATTTTACCTGTCGTCCTCTTCTGAATGATTTTTTCCTCGATGAGGGCCCGTACGCTGACCGAGGCCGTCTGCAACGGCGGCCCGGCCACCTCCTTCTTTTCCGCCTTTTTCGTGTCCGTGTCCTGAAACACACGAAACATTGCACAATTAAAATAAAAAAAAAAAATTAGATCTATCAATCCTTATCTGCCCAGACGTTACAAGTAAACTAAAATAGGGAAAAATCCTTGTACAATTTATTTGGTTGACGTAGTATGTGCGCGTGTAAATTAAAGAGAAATGCCTCCATAAGAGAACAGTACTTGCACGCGTCGTGGATAAACGTCGAAAATGGATACAGACAACAGTCGGGCGTGCCAGTCGAACGTCGCATGTACCGATAGCAGCTGCGTATAATTTGAGGGCTCGGTTTGATTATAAATTACGTGCGGTTTGTCAAGCCTGCGATGGAAAAGTGCGAGGGAAAAAAGGTGCACGAAGTCTACAATAGTTGTCGGTGAGCGCGGATTAAAAGAGCCTACATATATAGGAGGAGGAGTAGGTGCAGATTGATAGGCCACGTCTTTGTGCGCACAAGCGTATATATAACACGGGCGAGGGAGCGAAGCTGCTGTTAGCTAATCACTGAGCGGGGCTAATTGAGGCGACGTCCGATTACCCGCTGTGGCCTTGGAATATATATATACATCTCTGTCCCCGCGTGCTATGGTCAGCAGCACACCGGATTGCCGATCGCGGTTACCAAGACCTCCGCGTTTTAGTGGGGGGTGAGCTTCGATTGTCTTGGACGTGTGTTTGCAGGTTGCAATTGGTCAAATAACCGATACGATTTCTGCTTTAATATTACGAGTTTCACCGTGTAATTGCGATTAACGCGAGCCCCGGACATTCAATATCGAACTTACAAATTAGTTCGAAAAGTGCACCCGAGTTGGGGAGGGTATTTCCATTCCGGGCGAGCGACTAGTGAAAAATAATTTTGCAATGCACATACGTAATAATGTAACGACGATTTCCAGCAACCCGTGAAATCCAAGCTCGTTTGATACCGAAATTAATTTTGCTCGCACAGCGGGAGCTGCAATATTAATTGATAACGCTCGCGTTTCGTTAATTAGGGGGTATTTTTCTTCGTTACGGTTTCGACGGTAATAAATCATCATCATCATCGTCATCATCGTTGTTGTTTTTTCACGTTACAAAAACCCCTCCACTGTAAAATACGCAGATACAATTACAAAGTGCACGTAAACCTCGACGCATCCCACTAAGATATAGAATATTAAACCAAATGGTCCTAATCCAATCAAACTTTTGCCCGATAAATCGCAACGTTCATACACACATGTATCTCGAATCGGCAATATAGGTCAGCCGACGAGCCCCGAGCGTATACAATCAGCCTCCGCTCTCTCTCTCTCTCTCTTGAGGGACCATACCGTGCCATCCATCTGGACAGATAGGCGTGTACATCTGACGTCTAAACGTTAACGCGCGCGACGATCGTCGTGGAGGCTCAATTTCCCCTCCACCGGTGGACCGGCCTACGACTATAATACACCGGCGCATCCACTTTGATACATACATCACGTACGAAATTGAACTATCTGTCTTTGACGGGCTGCCCTCCGTGTCATGAATATTGATCGGAATAAGAGATGAGGAGGAGGTAAGGGGGTGCAGCCCCCGCTCTCTAATACGATCGATCTCGGCGTGAACGGACACCGGGAGGTTTACATATACACACGCACACTAGCCCGTTCTATGCTCCTTTCGCGGACAGAGATTTATGTTGCCTCGTGTACACGCCAATGCGTATATATGTATATATATATATATATATATACACACCTACATATTTGTGTTCGATGAATGCACGAATACCTACATGTATCGGGTTCTAACGCCGATGCAGCCGCCGATAAAGGATTGCGACGCCGTCCAATTATCGAGAATCGCCTGTATATGTTAGCGTACGGCTCGTATGAGCAGTGAAGATGCGCTTTCTATTAAAATGAGAGTGTTGTTGCGGAGCCGCTTCGTTATATGGGGTGCGTCGCGCTGGCGAAGCTTATTTTAATGCGCGGAAAGTATTAAGAGATTTAACTAATGGCTACACGCGGCGGGTCCACTCCCGGTCCGTTGATGGTTGAGGCTGAGCTGCGTCGGGGCCGTATATATATACACAGATTTGGGCGAATGCAGGGACGCTTCGGTGGCTCTGCCGATTGTTTTCGAGCTTTGGCTAATGGACGAGACGGACTGCGGGGTTTTTTCCGCGATCTCGTTTGATTCGCCCTGCAAAGGTCAGCGAGGGAAGTCACGTATACGGGGAAATCTGCGGAAAATCACCAATGTCGCGACGAGGCGTGCTGTACAGTATACACGTCCTATCGATTTGGTAAGCATTTTTTCGTGTCCATATCAGCAGCAGTTTTCAATTGGTATGTGACTACGATGGATGATTTTTAACGGAACTTTTCAAATGTACAAAGGAGCAAGCACCTTTTTTTTATACTATTTTTCCTACTCTAAAAGCTTTTAACGCAATAATCGTACGCAGAAAAATATTGTAGTATAGTTTTTTTTTTTTCCTTCTCCACGTTTCCATATATTTTTACTTGATGTTTATACCCTTTTCTTTTTTTTTTTTTTTTTTTTTTTTTTTTTTCCAAAACCACGCATCCAACTGCAATTCCGCGTCGTTGCATCCCCTCATCAGTCGGTAAAAAATGAGAGCCACTCCCCCCCCCCCTTCACATTTTTCTTTTCTCCCCTGCGAAAACCTGCACGCGAATAAACTATTGATTCAGATTTCCCGCTGCCGCGATGCGCGCGTGCAGGACCATCGAAACTTTTCGATAAATCTCTCTGGCGAGAAAGCAAATGCTCGCGCACAACTCGTGCCCGAAAGCCCAACCGAGCGGGCTCAATCTGCATAATGGAGCCAAGAGCAGGAGGCACTCGAGCGCGTTGTTTGCTCTCTCTCTCTCTCGAGATCTTTGCTTTTTCTCGTGTAAGCATACTCACGTCGCGTCTAAGCAACTCCGTCAGCGACTCTTTTAAGCTTCCGCACCCGTGTTGGTGCACCTGCGCGCTTTTGTTCCCCACACGCATCCAATCAACTATTTTTGATTAATTTGCTTCCAATGAAAGTGGCTCGTCTGGTAACGTGCTGTAAAAGGGATCGCAGGAGAGCGCCGATGTGTCTCTCCGGCACTTTTATAGAACTGCTGGGCGCAGCGGGGCATTGTTAAGACATTTTTTAATCAACGAAAACGGAAGAAAGGAGAGGGGGGGGGGAGAAAAAAAAAAAGAAAGAAAAGTAACGAAGACGAGCGGAAAGTTGCTGATCCTTCGATCTTTTTTCCCTTCGCTTGGTCGAGCTTCCGCGATGCTATACAGCTCTCAAAGTGCTGAATTCGATGTAACGAGACGGGGTGGTACAACCAGAAATAAAAGGGGGGACGATTAATCCCTCTCTCCACCAGTACGTATAGGTACAGCAGCGGTTTCCTCCCCGCGTCGCAGTTGGAGCGAAAGGAAGCGAGTCCGAGTACAGTTGGCAAATGAATTTGACTTTGCGTTGCAGGGCGCGAGAATACGTATATCTATATGTACACGTATAGGGTTTCGTTCGAGAGATTTCACCTTTATCATTAACACGAGAGCCATTATTTTAATTGCGAGGGGGGGGGGGAGTGGCGTTCAGTACTCGAGGTACATCCGCGGGGCCAAAGTTTCCAACTATTCTCAAGTCTGCGAGCTTCCCGGCTTCAGTGGGAAGCTGTAGAGGGGGATTAATAACAATTTTCGAGGAATCGCGCCACCTCTCCATTATTGAGACCCCCCCCCCCCCTGGAATAATGTAATAAATTGTATTGTTCCGACGTTGATGGCCCCGTCCCTTTCGGGTGCTCTTCGCCCTTAATTGGGTCAATTGTTCTCCGGTGTTTGAATACGCGAGTAACATTTACCCGCTCACAAAGGTATATAGCATGTACTCGTTATTCGACTGGAGATACCAGCTTGTCATCCAGAGTGCAAATATGCTCTTCGAATCGACGTACTAGAGACGAGTGAAAAAAATTTAAGTTTGGCATATACGAGACACGACTGCTGCGTCACAACCATGTGACGTTGATTATTTTTTTGGGTTCTTAAAGGTCCAGACAGAAGTGCTATTTATATTTATTCCAACTATAGGTAAATCTACCGAAAAGAGGAAATAAAAACATATTCCAAATGGCCGGGACGTACCTTTTTGAAGTAACCCCCGTGCAGTCTCATGTGGCCGTTGAGGGCGGGGATGTTTTTGAATTTCCGGTGGCACAGGTTGCACTCGACGGGCTTCGGCTCGACGGGTGGTTTACCGGAGGCCGGTACGAGACCGGGCGAACTGCTCGGCGACGGACTACCACCGACGACGACGATCTTCCCGGCATTATTACCGCTTCCGGGCGAGTTCGCCTGTGCCGATTGCTGCTGTTGGGGCTGCAGTTGCGCCGATTGCTGCTGCTGTTGGGGAAGCTGTTGGGCCTGCTGTTGGGTCTGCTGCTGCTGGAACGAAAAACAAACGCCACCGAGACTTGATTATTTTTTTTTTTTTTTTTTTTTTTTTTTTGTAGCCTATACATTTACGGTACTCTTCATCCGGTGCAAAGAGTTGGCTGGAAGAGCTAAATGTCATTAAAGTGGAGGGGTGAAAAAAGGCCATACACATTTATCGTTGAAAAAAAAAAAAAAATGTAGGAACAGAGACAATTAATGATACTAATAATAACAAAGCGCGGAGGAACATGGGAACTCTCAAAGACAAAGACTCGTCTGGAACTGCATTGTCTGCGCGTACATAAGCTCTTTTCCTCCGGTACGGGGCACAGCCGGTTAGAGATGAGAGGCGGAGGGTTTCGACGAGGAAAGCTTCGAATACGACGAATGAAGCGGAAAAACGCGAACAATGAGCGCGCAAGAGGCCAAAGTGTATTATATATAATACACGAGTACAAGGGAGGCGACGGAAGACCTGCTCCCGTGTTAATTAAAAGAGATCCGAGGAAAAACTGGGGGGGGGGGTAGGGGCACTTTGAGGATCCCCGTTTTCTTTGCTCCATTAAAACGACGAGGAGACGACGCTCGCGGAGGTTTTGTCCTTGTATTTCGGCTGCGAGCACAATATTATGACCTACGAAGACATAACTGCGCTTTTTCTGCATCCGTACCTCGTATTGTACAACGAACCACCTGGTTTTCATTACCTACGGGTATTTTAATTTTAAAAGGATTCACCCCCTTGTTTCTTCGCGATGCTCCGTCGTATACGACCCTCGACGACACAATTGCATTATCATCATAAACAACGTTTCTTTTCACGTTGCAAAATAATCGGATCGGACGATTAAACGTGTGCACACCATCAAGTTGAGCACTAGCAAGTAAAAACTTACCATGTGTATAATAAGTATGCATATGCGCACGCGAGCGCAGGTATTCGAATTCGAATCGAGGTGCACCCGCGTAAGAAGAGTAGCGGCTCAAAGAGCTTGTCGGAGCGAGCACGTTTCCATCGTTAGACCTATAATATTACGTACCACGGGCGTCACGTCTCGCGCAACCCATCGAAGAAACTCTACGAATATTATGTATATATATATATATATAGAACACCTCCGCCAACTTTGCGAAAAGACAAGAGCGGTGATGATAACGATACGTACACCCCCAGCCACTTCGTAGTCGAAATTTCTCGCGAGTGTCTGGTGCGTGTATGTAGAGCGCGTACAAGGGAAGGCTCTTGGCGCGAACTTGACTCAGCTTAGGGGCAAAACTTTGACACGCACCCGCGGCGCGTATATGTAATGTACCCCCGGGCACGTAATATCTGTTGGCTATACGGATCGAGGATGCGCTGTGCGATTACCTCGCATTACTTGTGCAATTACGCTGAAGCGGGCATCATCTAAGATTTTCTCCTCTCTCTCTCTCTATCCGAAAGAAAAATCGGTACGTGATCGGTAATGGCTCATGCAGGTATCATTGCTCGTACAGTTTTTCATATATATATGTGTTTGCTACCAGTAGGATTGACGCGCATTAACAGCCATGCACTACGTGGTATTACACCGATCTCCCGTTTTCGACTCCTCTATAGGCTTGCCCGCGGAAGAATCCCTACCCGCGCTTCATCGCCCAGCTGCAGGTGCGTATACAACCTAGGCTCTCGCGAAAGCGAACAAAAGCCCACGCGATGTGTATAGTATACGGAATATTGCCCGAGGTATAATCCTCCGCTGGAAAGATCGAGCGGCGGGAGAGGGAATCGAGCCGATTTTCGCCTACCGGTTTTAAATTAAACTCCCCTAAGCCCCTCCCCAGGGGACTTACGGGCGCGAGGCGCGGGATTAGCCGTGCATATAGGAAGAACGCGTTAAATAGGGTGTGTATAGTTATCGTTTGGCTGTGCGGCCTCGGGGATCACAGCGATCGCGAGGATTTCTGGCCGAAAGAGGATACCCGGCTGTACATATATACACCGGTGGGGGCCTCGCTGTGGTAAGTGGACCGAGGTCGTTGCCAGATCACAGTCGCAAGGACTCCTCGTTCGTGTATCCGGGTACATCTTCGCGCCATGGAGATCAACGGTGACGCGGGATGAAAAAAAAAAAAGGATATGATTTCAGTCTTGTACATGGTGGACGGGTAGGTGAATGGAGCTTATTACCGAGGGGATTTCATAAATATCCATCTCCTCGACCCCTTCTCTCGTATTACCGGCTTTCCATGTGGACAGTATCGCGGGATGACAAGTCGAGGGTAAGAAAAGCCATTGGATGTACACAAGCTTGTTCTCTCCTTCTCTTTTGAGCTTATTCCTCAACGTACCACGTGGCTCGAGCAAAGAACTAGAAATTACTTATTTAAAAAATTAAAAAAAAAAACATTCCATCGGTGTAAAGGTCGATTTCTACATGACGGCGTCCGGTCGATCGCAACACAATCAACAAACGAGAGCACGAAAACAAGTTGGATTAGCCGAAGGGAGTCGCCACGCAGGGAAGGTCATACACGCGTATATATAGGGACAACAAAAAGGGCTCTTCCCCTTCCTTAGTTGGGCACTATTACAAGGAAGATAGACGGAGGGACCCTCGCTGGCGCGCGTATGATTGAATTAGGAAGCCATGTCAGACATAACTTGCCGAGCTCACACATCACCATATAGTTTTGCGATCGTCCGGGTTGTACACTCGAGCGCGCACGGAATACGCAAACGAAGCCCTCGATAAGGACACGAGCACGATTGCTCTGGGAAACTTACAATTTTCTGCGAGTACAGCCAAGAAGTATGGCGCAGTGCTTCTTCTGACCCGCTGGACTTTTGACTCTCGGCTCTCGGGGTGCTGTACTTGCTCGCAAAGTGGAAAATTTTCCCAAAAATTACAGCTCGTCGAACACTCGATCGCGCGAGTTTCGGCCGTGCCGTGTTTTCTCTCACTACGGAGGAAGGATCGTATATAGCGCGGTGCTGTCGAGTCGGCGGGGAATTTTGTTTCGAGCTCCGAGGATTTATTCGCCGAGTGGGGGGCTTAGCCGAATGTAAATTTAATCGGCTGGAATTTTTGGTGGATTCTCGCTACGAGGGAGAAGATAGGGCAAAGGAGAAACTAGTTTTTTTTTTTTAAATCATGCTCATGAAGAGACTGATGTTTTCATTTGTTTTTTTTTGTTTACTGCAAAAATTCGAAGGCAAGACGTATAGCGCGTCAGCCCTTGATTTTTTAATCAGCGAAATAAATTTCCTCTCAAGCTTTTCCCGGAACAGGTGGGATTATCCTCTAAGCGCCGTCCGATTCGAAAGAAACAACTCCGCGAGTTGTCGGATGGGAGAGTGGGGAAAAAAAAAATTTAATTTCTCACCGGGAAGTTTCGCAGCGGCACTTTGTTGGGGCTAGCGTTCAGCTAGATAAATGGCGCGAAACTCCAAGAGTCCTGTTTTCAACAATAGCACGGTGTATGTATATAATATACATGGGGGGGGGGGGGGGGGGGGGACGGCTCTCGGTCCGATTTTCGGGCAAGTAAAGAAGGCTCGAGGGACCTGGCTGGAGCGCGACTTAGCTCCGAGGATTAAGGGCTCGACAGGGATTACAGGTGAATATTTGAAGCCCTCGCCCCCCCCCCCCCTCCCCTCCGATCCCTCTATGCCAGCCATCCTTGCTTTTTTGAAAACTCTTTTTCTTCCTCCTCCCTGCCGTTGCTCGCCGCATCTCTGAGTAAACTAGAGCCGATTGCCAGGGATGCTCTCTAATTTATCGAGAGGCGAGCTGACGACAGCTTTCCTCGCGCGCTTTGTTGGAAATTCTGCTGAACCGAACGGTTCGAGTCGTGGACGAGTGCACTGCTCTCCGATGATAATTTCGAAGAGGAAATCATCGCGTCGTTTCGAGTGGTTTTTGCAAACTTTTCACTCCCTGGGAAATTTAATTACAACTTTTTGGCAGACATGTTTTTTTTTATCGACCAAAAATTAATTTTAAACTCGAATGTAAGCACACCCACTGGGCGAATTCAGAAATTTCGGAGATTATTTTACACGCCCATGGGAAAAGCAAAAATCTGTTAATTAATCCGGCTTTTTTTCGTTTATTGCTGAGGAAGGGAAGGCTGAGCTGACGAAAAAAAAAAAAAAAAAAAAAAAAAAAAGAACTCGACGCTCGTTCATTAGGGGAATTTATTTGAAGCTGAAATAAAGGAAAGCGAAAGAATGAGAGAGAGAGAGAGAGAGCGGGAGAGAGAAGGAAATAAAAGAAAGAAAGTGTGGAAAATGCGCGAAAAGGGAGGCAGATCCCTTTCTTCCGAGTCCTCCGTTGTATATACATGTATACATTAATTGCGCGTCGAACCGAGGCGATACATACACGTATACATAAGTATACTGTACCCTTAGGCTGCCTCTGCTGTTGCCCTCCACATTGGTAGGTACATATTATATATATATATATATATATATATATATATATACACTAACCTAAGACTGAAGCGACCGAGCGTAATCAAGTTCCGAGCTGGCTCCCTTTGTTACATTAGCCCTCGCGACGTTGAGAATTCACCGCTACGGAACTCGTACTTTTTTTTCCCCCCTCCTCCTTTTTATTTCAATGCTCTCCCGTTTCAATGTCCCTCCGCATTGTTTTGTAGCTCGCACGTCTGTTCTGAAATAATTTTAGCTCGTCCTCCCGGCGAGTGTCATTAAATTATTTTTTATATTACACCCACCCACTCCTCTTGTCGCGTGATATTAAATTACGCTCTGCATATTTCGTTGTACCCTCTGTAAAATGCTTTGTTTAATTTCAGTGTATACGCATACCCTTAAAATTACGGTGCACGTAATAAAACAAAGGACATTTTGTTTCGTCAAAATAATTGTTGGCATCTCTAAATCTTTTTCTTTTTTTTTTTCACTTGCTACACTAATGCAATTTGTCGTGAACAATTTTCGTTTGCAGTAATGCGCGCAATTTATGAAAAAAAAAAAAAAATAAAAATAAAATTAAAAAAAAAGAGGTAAAATTATAAACTCGATCCATCTACTTCGAAATCATCAACAGCGTGCTTTTAACGAGTAAACTCTCGGGGTGGGTATATAGGTACACATCCGTAATCGAGTACGTACATATATAGAGTGACTTTTCCCGCGTTCACGACCACCACCACCAGCTACAGCTCTAATGCGATAAACCACGAGTCTCCAATCTCTTACTTCCTCGTGCAGAGTTCCCGCGTATAGCCCCTTGTCTTCTTCAGGGGCCACCAGCTGCGTCAGCTGGTTTTATCGCGCGAGCGAAGTAGGTAAGTACAGCGTTCGGAGGGGAAAATAAATTATCCGTGAATGCGGGCGCAACCACTAGATTCGAGGACTCCGGTTTTTTTTTTTCCTCCTCGCTCGGCGAGATTATAATGACTATACCATCGATCGATCGATCTTTGGCAAAATTCCTCGTCAGTTTTACCGAATTTCAAGGTATCAAGCTCACTGACCACGAAGGGTTTGCACATCCCGTGGCATCAATTTTTCTATTTCTCAAAGTTATTTGTTGCAAAAAAAAAATTTATGGTCTCCGTTCAAAGAAAGAGCCACATTTTACCTCCAAATCATTGGTCATTGACATAATTGAATTTTTGTCTTTGTCTCGAGAGCACAAAGTCCCTGACTATTTCCAACTGTCAACCAATTATCTGGTTTTGCCGTCTCCTCCTACTGGATCAAAAAGCAAAAAAAGGAGTAAACCAACTCGAGAATCGAGTTACCTTCTGGCAGCTCGACAAAGCCGCAATAGCTCAGCCAAAGAGCTGTATAGGTATCTATACATATGTACACCAGACAATGCGCAACTGACGAAGATGACTGTCACATTTGGCTTTGAACGACGCGAAGGAGTAAGAAAAGCGCGTTGTACTTACGCAGAGGGAGAGTTAGACGCCGGTAACGTCAGCTGGTCTTTCGTGAGGGAGGAAGTAACGGGGGAGTCTGGTTTTCCACCGGGGGGGGGGCGGAAGGGGTGTACACAGTCCTCGGAGTAATGGGTAACAGAATGGGATAATTCCGCGGGGCCGTGGGGCGGTAATTGCGAATAATTGTATTGTCTTCGAGTCGTCCTCTCTCAGTGTAATCGTAGTGGGGTCGTATATAGCTGTCCCCCTTCGCATTACCTATACGTGTCCTCCCCATTATGTTCCCCGACAAAGACGTCGGCGCTACATCGTCTCGTAGACGTGTGTACGTGTGTCGACGACAGCGGTAACTATACATAATATGCATGTATGTGGATGCTTGCTCTTTGCTCGCGTACATAATTGTGTATTGTCGCGCCACGCTGTGAATTTCCCTCCTCGACTTCTCTTCCTGTACTCTACGGCCGAGTCGCCGGATACAGGATGAATTCTCGGGGCTATTACGGGGAACCTCTGCGAGCAATCGCCATCAGCAGTTAACGATGTTTCTTCGGAGGACAACATGCATCTGCCCTGGAAGTTGCTTTTCACTTCCCGCGCGATTATTCAGGGATGCTTTGGAGGATCACCCTTCGACCAGCGTGTCAGTGAACTTTGTGAAATCATTTTTTTTTTTTTTTCCTACCTGAAAACTCGTTCATTACCCACACTACGAAATCCCTCTAGGGTCAAATCTCAATGGTATTGGAATAATCGTGTTTGAAGGAGTATGGACCTCCCATCCATTTATCAGCTCTCCCGATTCGAGTGGCGAAACTTTTGGCAGAGGAAGAGAACAGAATTCATCCCTTGCTCCGTTGTACATGTATACGTATAGGTACTATTATACTAGGTCGTCTCCTTGTTGGACTTGCACTCGAAATCGCCGAGTCTGTTTACACGAAGATACGGCTAGTCGTATTATCGCGTGTACGCGCGTATAAGTCCTTGTTATATACTCGTTCGGTGAAGATTAAGTTATCGTTAATCACTCATGGGTTTCAATGACACTGTCCACTTTTTTTGTTTCATATCCCGCGCTAAAAGGTAACCTTGAGCTATATTTGTACACCCAAGAAGAGCAAAAAAATATCATTAATAATAATAATAACAGAGCTTGTTACGACCCTCGTTCTTCTTCTTATAGCAATGGTCACCCGGCGAAACATTTCAATAGCGAGTCGTTAGTGCGACGCCACCCCCTGCCCCCCCCCCGACAACGGTGTTATTGTGCACACAGAACAGATAGAGAGAGAGAGAGAGAGAGCTAGTGCACCTTTCGTGTATATATCAAACGCGTCCATGGCGGGGTGGATCTACACGCTTTACTGATTACTCCTCGAAAGCATCGCGTCGGA